GTTCATGAAATAGGACTATAGAATCTACTAGGAAAAGTGAACGGATCTTTACTATTTTGTAGAACATGATACCATTGCTAGCCAACATGTTTGTTTTTATAAAGAAAGTGTGGCTGTTTTTACAAAATACAAGAACAATAAAATATAACCAGAGCTTACGCCATTTTTTGAAGCGTAAATAGAAAATTCAAATATCCCAATAATTCAATGTAAGTACTAGATCGTCGGGTTTGAAATAAAATAGTTTCAGTAAAATTTTAATTATTTTTTTTTATCTTTTCCATCATGTGGCCCGCGACACTGGTGTTGGAAAATTAAAATGGCCCGCATATTGAATTAGGTTGGGCATCACTGTCTTAGTCTGTTGGACGTTAGGGCACCACATAAGATCTATTGACCTTCTTTCTACATTCCTCTCTGTCAGACGTGGCACACATATTTCAGACCCTAACCATATATTTCTGATTTGATATATATATATTTCCGACGTGATATACATATCTCGGTAGTGATACGCATATTTCAGTCGAGACACACATATTCTAGAGGTAACACACATATTTCAAACAAGACATACATATTCTAAAATATGTATTTCAGACGTCATATAAATATATCCCGAATGCAATACACATTTTTAAGACGTGATACGCATATTTCCGACGTGCCATAAGTATTTCAGACGTGACACATATTTTAGACGTTACACGCATATTTCAAACCTGACACATATATTTCAGACTTGACATACATATTTCAGACCTTACACATACATTTCAGACATGACACACATATTTCAGACTTGACACAAGTATTTTAGACGTGACACACATATTTCAGACCTTACACACACATTTCAGACATGACACACATATTTCAGACTTGATACACATATTTCAGACCTTACACACACATTTCAGACATGACACACATATTTTAGACCTGACACAATTTCAGACCTGACACACATATTTCAGACATGAAACGTGTATTACAATAAATGTTGGATGGTCGTCACAAATACTATTTATGTTTGGGATTCAAAATCCCAATAAAAGAGATCGATTCTATGACACCTGCAACAGCATCCAGAAAAGTTCACATTGTGTTGGGACACATCCTAAAATTCAAAGGACCTCCCCTGTCCTCTTTGTCTCTCTCCAGACATGTCACATTTATAAGTTCGTAGACTCCTTTTTTTTTTTTTTTGGAATAGACTTGCTGTGTAAAATGATAATTATCAGTAACTATCAATGGTCCATTAGAAGTGGGGAACTTAGTCTCATTAGGCATTACAAAAATTATTTGTTTCTTATTTTTTTTTATTACGGGAACTAACCACCCCATTTAGACCAATTGTGTAGCTAGACTGGTCCAGTGATCTGCGGTTGGACTAGTTCACATGATTATTCAGGTTTTTAATTCCAATCTCAGCTGGAGGTTGAGATGTAGGGTGCATTACTAGTAAGCGTGTCTGTTGCCTAGGTTACCGTCGTCTGCTCCCAACTTCTGCCTTTTTGTTAGTGGTTTGTTTCTTGCTGATAAACATTGGAAAGAGACTTATTAAAAGCTGAACAGCATTGGGACACAGAGTTCTGGGGCCGATTGTGTATCGACCCCCCCCCCCCCCCCACTTAAAGTAAGCCATGTGTTTATTAAGTTTCTATTTTTCAAGTTCACAACAATATTGTCAGGCTAACCGCCAGAGGGTCCTAACCTCGCTCTAAGTCCGTATCAACCGCCAAAGGGTCCTAACAGCGCTGTAGTCCATATGTGTACGTATTTCATTTTTTTTTCTTGTCATGGGGGGGGGGCATATGGGCCCAAATTTTTCTGCTTCTGTTAAAGTAGTGGTAATTTCACGCCTAGGGTTATCAGATCTCCGGCATTAGGTGGCCTTGACCTCCTATTTAATGTCGTGTACTCCGGCCGGCCCGCATTGCCTAAAATGTCCGGCTTTTTCACTGATGTTTACTCCAATATATATATATATATATATATATATATATCATTGTGGCCCAACCATACGCGACACCACGATGAAAAAGTCATGGAAAGAGAACTCTTTTAATTCTGCAAGTCAGACTAAAGTTACCCTATGTAAGATTTGCCGTGACAGAGAGCGAGGTTCAGAAAAAAAAGAGAGGTCGCCTCGTGGCATATATTCCATTTATTGAGCTTAATACTTTATATTTCCTGGCTATGTAGTTGTCTGGTAACCCTGCGCCGTCAGTAAGGCAGAAGACTCATCTTCTAGAATAGATAGATATAATGTGTCGTGGGCGTGGCCAGAATTTTTTTGGAAGGGGGGGGTTGGGGGACTCCCCCGCCCCTCCCCTCCCGCGGAAAAAAATTATATATGTGTGTGTGTACATAATTAATCTTTATTACATTCTGATCCTTTCGGAAGACGTTTATTGTTTATTGTAGACTCCCCGCCTTTGCTAGCAAGGGTTGCTGGGGGAGCTCGCTGCGAGCTCCCCCAGCACGGGGCAAAGCCCCCGCCGCCGAGCCTATTTCTGGTATTGAAAGCCAACAAAAAGCATATTCTGAGGTATCTACAGTGCATTATCTTGCTATTAAAAAGTTTTTTTTCAAAAACCTAATGTGCTATTCTTACTGACTTAGACCCTCTCCCGCCGTTCGGCGCATTTTCCGGCAAGCTGTTTCCGCAACTCTTATTTTGCGTAATTCATTTTGTCGGAGAACATGTCTCTCAAAACCTCATGCGACGCTCTGTCACAACCTTACTAAGGATTCGACTACCAGTTCGGCATGATTTCTTTGATTTAGACCCGATCTCTATGACTGACTCCTAAAATCTGTCTTAGCCATCTTTGTTGAGCCACATTGAATGTTTTTCAATTTCGGCAGAAGACTATTCACACTTTATTAATGGAGCCCAAGCCACTGGTAGAAATGTGTAACCTTTCTTGACTACGCTCTTGGAATTACATGCCTGTATTTCGCTTTAGATCTTAAATCGGAGGGGATTTCATTTGGAGGGGGTTTGAGCCCCAAGAACCCCTCCCCCTGGCTACGCCCATGTAATGTGTGATTAGACTAACTACGCCAAACGTCTCTTCTAGTCTTGTATTTCATGAGATTTCTTTTATTTATGTTTCGAGAGTCTGTCTGTCTGTCTCGGTATTTATTTATTTCTTATTAGGGTGGCTAAGACAGATTGATTTATACAACACATTCTATTGGCTAGTTGTTTTTTTTTTTGTTTTTTTTTACAAAGCTTGCATCCACTCACTTTGTTTGTCTGTCTGGTAAAAAGTTTGAACATGTTTTTTTCCCATTTCGCATTTTCGGAACAAATTAAAACTTTGTACAGTTTGAACCTGACAAGACACGAATCAATCAAAAATATTAACCAATTAGTTAATTGATTGTTGGTGGTTAATTACTTTACTTGATATCGAAATAAATGCTGCTTAATGAGATATGTGGATGTTTAGATGGATTTATTCCCCTTATTACGTTTTGACACGTTTGTTCTCTCACTTTCCTATCTCGGATCAAGTTGAAGTTTTGCACAATTAGTCATAGTTGATGAAAATGCACTCGTCAATTACAAAAATAATGAACTATTTAATCTTGTTTTATATAACATAAAAGGGAGCTAAACCCTATGAATTTCAGATTAATCGCAGTAGTTAGCTGTTCTTTCCCTTGTTTTGTTTTTAAAAAAAATAATTTCTATAGCTTGTTAAATAATTTTATTTTCTACAAGTTTATTACCCAAATATTGATATCAAATAGCTAACAAAATGTTGCAAGACTAAGAGTGAACAAATATCTTTATCAATAGCTCTATAAATGGAGGCGCGGTGGCTGAGCGGTAAAGCGGGGGTTCGAATCCTGGTAAAAACTGGAAATTTTAATTTTGGGATTTTCGGGCGCCTCTAAGTCCACCCAGCTCTAATGGGTACCTGACATTAGTTGTGGAAATGTAAAGGCGGTTGGTCGTTGTGCTGGCCACAGAAACAGACGGCCTTCATATCAGACCACAAGGTCTGAAGGGAGAACTTAACCTTTTTTTTTAGCTCTGAAAAATTTCGACAGAACAGACAAAAATACGCAAAGCATTAACCACCATTTCATCGTCAATATTTTTAAGTGCTTACTGTTTTGCAAAGCTTATATCGACAGCTGCAAAATAGTATACTCTGTTTATCACCATGCAAAAATGTGAAAACAGGATGGCGGCCTGGTATTGTATTCGCATTGGAATGCCATCACAATGGCCCCTAACCCAAAACCCGCCAGCAGGAGGCCTGAGCTAGGTTGTTATAATTTTGATTTTGGTAGGAATAACTGGAATATATAAAAACAGAAGTTAAAGGAAATGATAAGTCGACCAGAAGTCGTGTACAAACTGTCTGGTCAGTGGATGAGGGTCAATCTAAGGGCTAATCGGCACGTGTTAAAAAGTAAACCGGAGCGAGAGTTCAAAAGTTCATTCTAAAAACCTTCCCGGCAGTCGTTATAGATTCTGGCAACATCCGGGCTAATTGTTTGACAGGCTTGCGGTAGAATGTTGGCTGTGAGTAAATGTTGGCCCTGTGTTTGTACTGGCGATTCGGTGACCCATAGCATGGACTTGCGACGTTCTCATAGCTACATTGACCTTGGTCGTCTCTTCAGATCAAAGTGAACATTTTGTCCTGGTCTAGTCCCTTTAATCTCGCTCTATTCATAATTAGTAAACTAAATTAAATTCTTTTCGTCATGCGATTACTATTTTGATAGTAGAAAATACCATGGGCGTAGCCCAGGGGGGGGCTGTGGTTCAACCTTCCCCCCACCAATTAAAATATTAAAGAGCATACTAACTATAGTTACCAAATTCAATGAGCTTAGCTGAGAGGGTGAGACTTTTACCCCTACCCCCACAACAGAGTGAAAGTCTATGAAAGCAATTGATAAAGAAAATCTTCGAGAACTCAAGCACAGTATAACAAACAATACAGCAAGTCACCAAATGTTAGGGGCACAACGCATCCCACGACCCAATGAAAAAAAAAAGGAAAACTTAAAGTTAAAAATTCGTTGAGCTGAGCCGGCCTTAGGCATAGGAAACTCAGGCAGCCGTCTAGAGCCTCAGATTGATTGGAGACTCGCACATGATTCAAGTTTTTTAGAGACGAAATAGCGAAACGTGTCCCTTGTTTTAGTCTTGGAGTGCACTAGGCTATTAGTGTTGGAGTGCACTAGGTTTTTAGTGTTGGAGTGCACTAGGTTTTTAGTGTTGGAGTTCACTAGGTTTTTAGTGTTGGAGTGCACTAGGTTTTTAGTGTTGGAGTGCACTAGGTTTTTAGTGTTGGAGTCCACTAGACTGTTAGGGTGCACTAGGTTTTTAGTGTTGGAGTGCACTAGGTTTTTAGTGTTGGAGTGCACTAGGTTTTTAGTGTTGGAGTGCACTAGGTTTTTAGTGTTGGAGTGCACTAGGTTTTTTGTGTTGGAGTGCACTAGGTTTTTAGTGTTGGAGTGCACTAGAGTGTTGGAGTGCACTAGGTTTTTAGTGTTGGAGTGCACTAGGTTTTAGTGTTGGAGTTCTCTAGGTTTTTAGTGTTGGAGTGCACTAGGTTTTCAGTGTTGAAGTGCTCTAGGTTTTTAGTGTTGGGGTGCACTAGGTTTTTAGTGTTGGAGTGCACTAGGTTTTTAGTGTTGGAGTGCTCTATGTTTTAGTGTTGGAGTGCTCTAGGTTTTTAGTGTTGGAGTGCACTATGTTTTTAGTGTTGAAGTGCACTAGGTTTTTAGTGTTGGAGTTCTCTAGGTTTTTAGTGTTGGAGTGCACTAGGTTTTAAGTGTTGGAGTGCACTAGGTTTTTAGTGTTGGAGTGCTCTATGTTTTTAGTGTTGGAGTGCACTAGGTTTTTAGTGTTGAAGTGCTTTAGGTTTTTAGTGTTGGAGTGCACTAGATTTTTAGTGTTGGAGTGCACTAGAGTGTTGGAGTGCACTAGAGTGTTGGAGTGCACTAGGTTTTAAGTGTTGGAGTGCACTAGGTTTTTAGTGTTGGAGTTCTCTAGGTTTTTAGTGTTGGAGTGCACTAGGTTTTAAGTGTTGGAGTGCACTAGGTTTTTAGTGTTGGAGTGCTCTATGTTTTTAGTGTTGGAGTGCACTAGGTTTTTAGTGTTGAAGTGCTTTAGGTTTTTAGTGTTGGAGTGCACTAGGTTTTTAGTGTTGGAGTGCTCTAGGTTTTTAGTGTTGGAGCGCACTAGGTTTTTAGTGTTGGAGTGCACTAGAGTGTTGGAGTGCACTAGAGTGTTGGAGTGCACTAGGTTTTAAGTGTTGAAGTGCACTAGGTTTTTAGTGTTGGAGTTCTCTAGGTTTTTAGTGTTGGAGTGCACTAGGTTTTTAGTGTTGGAGTGCACTCGGTCTTTAGTGTTGGAGTGCACTAGGTTTTTAGTGTTGGAGTGCACTCGGTCTTTAGTACATTGTGTTCTTTTATTTTTTTATTTTTTTTTATTTTTGCTGTTTATTTCTATTTTCCTATTTCATTAGGTGGCCACCAAATTCACTTTGCCTAGGGCCTCCAATAATCTAAGGCCGTCCCAGCCTTGTAAAGAACTATTGTATGAATAAAGACGCTTAATACTATTTCCTCAATGCTGTCTATAGGATCATTAGCTTAATCCTTTTGACTTCCAGTGGAGCATAGGGCCGCAACAGAGGAACATAGGACCACAACAGAGGAACATAGGACCGCAGCAGTAGAACATAGGACGCAGCAGTGGAACATATGGCCGCAACAAATGATACATAGGGCCGCAATAGTGGTACATAGGGCCACAACAAAGGAACATAGGGCAGCAACAGTGGAACATAGGGCGAAACAGTGGAACATAGGACCGCAACAGAGGAACACAGGACCGCAACAGAGGAACACAGGACCACAGCAGTGGAGCATAGGACAACAACCATTGGAAGTAAAAATTCTGATCTGAGCAATTTCTCTCCGTTGGTTCAATGTCCATCCTGCCATCTTGGCTTCTTGTTCTACTGATCTCCTCCATGTTTGCTTTGGTCTCCAAGACTTTTCCCTTGTAGGTTCCAGTCTGAAAACGTTTTTGGTATATTTTTCATTGTTCTTAGCATTGTGTATCTAATTCAGCCCCAGTTGCGTCTTTTATCCATAGATTGGAAATATCTAATTTATATAAATCCTTAAATCATATAAGCTGTGTTGAGATGTAATGAGTTACTAGGTCAGTCAATTGTCAAGTCTGTTTATTGAGGACCGCGAATGTTCACTGACCAGTTCCTTTTCTTTTTGAGTTCAGCGCCCCTCTCTCTTGAATCTTCCCCCAATTAAAGCCTGGTCCATACTTCAAATGTATTTATTTTGGCCAGCTTTTTTGTTCAGGTATCGTCCCATGTAGGAAGATCGTAAAGCATCAAGTGACATTGTTAGTTACCTAGTTAGTTAATAACTATTCGATATAATGTGTAGAGGTAATCATTAAGTTCTGGTGGAGCTATGGCATGCGTGGAGCGCCTCGAAAGGAAATATCAGGTACGTATGGTGATGCAATGGGTTCCATCACACTGTGGAAGCAGAGGAAACAAGAGGGCCGACAGTTTGGCGAAGCTGGGAACGCTTTTAGACCCACCAGAGAAGCTGCAAACATACGAGAGTGCAAAAGCGAGGATTCGTGAATGGATCAAACGCCCAAACAGAAAAGACGAGTGGTGGCAGCTAGACAGAAAGGAGCAAGCAATCTTGGCACGATTCCACACTGGACACTGTCAGATAGGAGCCTACTTTGCTAGGATCCGGCAGAATCACGATCCCAGATGTCGACACTGCCATACTAAAGACGAGACTGTGGAACACATCCTCTACGAATACAGGGTGCTCAGAAACACATTCAAGGATACGACTAGTCTTGAAACAGAACTGGTGCATGCGGGGGTCTCGCCTTGTACGGAGACAGGCAGATCCTACAGAACACTGCCAGGTACCTGGACCGTGCTGTAAGGGATTAATCCCAGTACGGAACCTTAGTGCATGGAGGCTTACAAATGGTGGACCTGTCACGTGATAATGATGAATGATTTAGACTCCAAGACTATTCAGTTGAACTGAACCAATCCAAACCAAATGAGTAATTATGTTTATATTTGCGTTTCTGTGTTTTTGTACATGGGTAGGGGAAGACAATAGTTGATGAATATTTCATTATATTTTATTTATAAATTTTCCTTTTTTTAAATCTAATACACTCATACTCACACACACTCTCACACACACTCTCACACACACTCTCACACACACTCTCACACACACTCTCACACACACTCTCAAACGCACTCTCCCTCTAGCTATCTTTCTGCTGCTCTACTCTCTGTTTCTGTTTAGTTTTTTTTCTCTCTTCTATCTCTCTCTCTTTATCTTTCTCTCTCTCTTTCTCCCTAACTCTCTCTCTTACTCCATAACTCTCACTCTCTCTCTCTTCCTAATTCTCTTTCTCTCTCTCTCTGCCACACTCAAATCGCATTCTATTTTTTTTTTGTAACTCTTCAGTGAATGACTAAAACGCGATGGTCACGGTTCGCTGCTTTTTGAAATGAATCCAATCATCGAGTTAATTGTCTTTAATCCCGTGAGAACTTATCTCCCATTGTCTGGACAGATCAAGAGTTGTCTTCTCTTGCCCCCCCCCCCCCCCCTCGCTTCCCTCCTCTGTGCTAGATTGTCAATGTGCTCCACGCTCATGTTGAGCGACATTATTTGAACAAGGAATAAGTAAGATTCAATTTCAGTTTAGGACATCGATTTTTCGGAGGCCTTATCCTTCTTGGATGGGACAGATAGCCATGGTCCATGTTATAATCTGTGTGGATGATCTTGTGGGTTTTCCCCGTGGATACTTATTGATTAGATCTCCTCATTATTTGTAGATATTTGTTGATGCCCTGTTTTGTCCGAACACTTCAAAGATTTGAACGCATTCCGCTGGCCAGAATAGATTTCGAGTAGGTCAGCGAGCACCATCCTCTTAGAGACTAGACTTTCATGAAAAGATAAAATAGATGCCTGCCTGGTCATGTGATATGCGCTCTGGTTAGAGGTCTCAAAGGTCGCGGGCTCAAACCCTGCCCTCCGCCATGTTCCGTCGTCCAGCTGGAGGTTTGGGCTAGACGTAATGGTCTTTCATTCTGAAGGAACACGCGAGTATTACAATTAAAAACAAAATTGTTAAAAGTCTAAACGGTTTACATAAATATGTTTAAAATATGGTAAAAGAGTTTCTTTCCTTACTAAATAGTCTTCCGTGTTTTATTTTTTTACTATTAATATTGAATAGTTATAAAAATGGTGTATTTTTTATTAATGACAAAAACTGCTTGCATAGTTGTTTTTAAAAATTAAACTTTTCGCTTTCAGAAAAGTAAAAAGTAGCTGTTGCATCAGAACTTTGAAAGTATAAAATATCATGATGTCGGATTTTCACTTTCTTTTTTTTAGTTTACGAGATCTAAACGGAACGGACGAACGGACGGACAAACAGACCACACAAAACTAATAGTGGCTATTCTCCTTTCGGGGGCCGCTAAAAATTGAGAATAAAGTTAAAAACATAAAACGAAAATTCGTACGAAAAAAACAACAGAGGATACACATGTTGATGCTGACATAGGATACTGAGCTTATCACAACACGGATACACATTTCATTAAGCTGGACATAGGATACTGAGCTGATGATAGCATGGATATACAGGTCAATAAATTTGGCATAGGACAATGGTCTTTTAATAGTAAGGATATCACCTTCATCTATCCCTTTGTCTGATGAACCACACATGATCTGTCGACAGTCTTTCTCAATTCCTCTCTCTTTTGTCTTGGATAGAATCTCAATGACGGACCCGTCCATTCTTTTATGTTGTCTTCCCATCCATTTCTCTGTCTGCCTCTTCTTCTTTTTCCTTCTACTGTTCCTTGCAGGAAGGACCTTATGATATTCCCATAAACTTTTAGTTAGTTTGCGTTTTTTGTTTCGACAGTGTTTAGTAGGTCATCGCGGGGGCCAATTACTGTTGTGATCCTGTTTCTAATCTCTTTATTTGTTATGCAGCCTTTACATGTAATACCTAGGATATTTTTTATAGCATTTCAATTCCCTTGCTAGGATCCTCCTCTTTAGATCTGCAGTTAGCGCCCAAGATTCGCAAGTATACAAGAATGTGGCCGTGGCCATGAAGGGCATCAGTCTTATTTTAGTGTTGAGGGCTACGCCTTTGTCTTTCCAAATTGTTTTGAGTTTGAAAGTTACACGTGTACAATGGAGTGTAACAGTGGCTTAAGGAACAGAGGAGGTCGCATAAGTCACGGTTATATCCAGTGGCGTAGCTGGGGATTTGGGGATCGGGGTGCATGACCTCTTTAGGGGCCTCTGCATTTTGATATTCGACATCGTGACATAATACAATGGTGTAATATTTAATGTAAAAAGATTTTTCGGACACTCATTTGGGGGCCCCTCAAGTTGGGGGTCTGGGGGATTTTCAAATTTGGACCCCCCCCCCATCCCCCACACTAGGTCACTGGTCATACCCACAACATTACCCTCCCCCATTCCTAAGTCCGCTTTTGTTTTTGAAACTGGGCACAAAGTGCCAATATGCATATACACACACTGGCTCTCTCACACGTAGATACAAAAATCCGAAAGTTATTTTTTAGACAGGGGCGTAGCTAGGAATTTTCTATCGTTTGTGGGCCCGGGGGGCTTGACCTCTTAGGGGACCTCTGCATTTTTGCGTAATATTTTATTTTTAATGTACAAAACACTCATTTGGGCCCCCCCCTCAATTTTCGAATTCTCCCCCTTCCCACCCCACGCTAGCTACGCCACTAGGGATTGTGTGCTGTCCCTATCGAGTTCTCCAACCAACTTGAATTGATTTATCTGACCTGATGTTAAGAAGGTCTTAGTCATGCATCCAGATGGCCTTGCTACTTGTTGCTGGTTGCTACAATCTCTCCGCATCTTTGAACACTAGAATATTTATTGTCAAAACTGATACGGACAGATGACAGTTGGTTTTTTTTTATAGCCCCTTAAAGGAGGGCGCGCTATTGTAAGATGTGTGTGTGTGTCTGCGTGGTTTGGGGGGGGGGGGGAGGCGGGGGAACATGTGTAGGTGGTAAAATTTATTAAAACTGTGGCGCTAGCAATTAATTTTATTGTTTGAGTGGGACCAAGTTTAAAAAAAATAATGGGAGAAGACGGAAAGTGACGTCAGATATAGAGTATTGGAGGATGAAAAGTCAGATTAGGTTAAAGGTCGCACAATGAGTGACACGTGATCTGTCACATAACTCATATTCAGTAGACAGACAATTTTCACAAACTCAC